TGTTGCCTTATTCAGATATTAGCCAGAGAGCCAAAAGCACATTTTGATATTATTTATTATTATTTGGCATTATTTTTTATTACTCTGACAGTTTTCCTGACTAAACAATTTTTGGTCTACTTATTTTAATTTATAGAAGTTTTTATTAATTATTTTTAATTAATTAATTAATTTAAAAAAATTTTTTATTTAATTTCAACATAATGTGCTAAAAGGGAGCAGGCAAGATACTGTTCAATGGCAGATGTTTATGACTTTTTCATATTAAGTTACCAATACTCACTGTAATTGAGGCAATCAATTGCCTCAAAAATGTTAAGTTTTGGGTCACATGTTTTTAAGTATCAAGTAGTCAACATATTTGACTAACGTGTACTTAAAATAATGACAACACAAACTAATAAACATTTGAGTTTTGTTAACATAAAATTTGAATGTGCTCCTCCAAAAGAAACTTCCTAAGCCTCTTTAGGAAGTATATGCATTGACAAGCCTTCATGGCCACAATGTGTGTGTGAAGACTTAAGGCAAGATCCTCAATAATGTTCACACCAAGGAACTTGAAACGGCTGAACCTTTCAACCTTAGCACAACTGATGTGGATGGACTAGCGTCCTGTTGTTTTCTGTAGTCTACTATCATTTCCTTTGTTTTGCTGATAGTGAAAGAGAGGTTATTGTCCTGGCAAAAGTTGTTTAGTGCCTCCAGCTCTTCTGTAGGCTGTCTTATTATCGTCTTTGATAAGGTCTATGATGGTCATCTCATCTGCAAATTTAATGATATCATTGGAGGTGTGCTTAGAAACTCAGTAGTGTGGAATCCACTACATAAGGATGCCCATAGATTTTTTTTTTTTTTGTCTTGCTTGGATAGTGGAACAGTGAAGATTAGACAGGTAAGTGGGGGGGGAGGGGAGAGATCTGCAACATAGGGCAGCGGGTCAGATTGAAACCCAGGCCACCTCATTTTAGGCATGTGCCATTTGCTGAACTTGTGAGCTAAACTGGCATCCCATCCGTACCTATAGTAGTGTAGACATGGTAATATCAAATTTAGTGAAACAAATGTCACAATTAAATGTTTTTAAAAATTAATAATTTGGAGGCCAGACATGACTAAAAATACTACAATTAGGCATTGAGCTCAAACAAATGTCTAATGCCAACTAATTATTTTAGTTTTTAGTCTTAAATCTAATATTAAGAAAATATATATCTTTGTATGCTAACTTAGCTGTCCTTTTGAGATAATCTCTAGATCAGGAGAGAGCCTTGCTTGTCCTTTGCCCAAAAACGATAGACAAAAACTGTAATTTAAAGAGTGTGGCATCATCATCATCTACAATAGGTTTTTTTTGTTTAGTTTTTTTGTGTAATTGCATACTTCTCCGTTGTGCGCTTCAACACACTATCTAGAAATTAAAAAACATAAGCCTTCCTACACTTCTCATTGTGTTGATCACATTGTCAAAAACACCCCAGTGAGCAAAGAGGAGAAAAAGAGATTTGTTTCAACAGAGCTCAGAGTACCTCATTATGTGGTGCATAGAGGGAGATTTGAACTGCATTACTAATACTCAGTTTACTGTATATTATATGTACTTCCACATGATTCTGCCCACAGGATGTAAACTCAGTGGGAAGAAAAGCCACCAAATATGCAGACCAAATTAAAGCAAACATTTTTTTTTGAAAGGGAGTTGTGCTTTGATGTCTCTGCATTTATCCATGACCATTTTACACATAGCCCCAGACCATTAAAAGACTGAGCATTTCTTGCCCTCAATTAACCACACTGAATAATTTAAATCATGCTGAATTCTGCAAGACCAGATTTGCTCATGAGGAGATGGATAACACTAAGGAATTTGGGAGTGTAATCAATAAAGTATAGAGTGTATAATTATAATTTGGTACCTTTGATCTCATTTAGACACAGATATGTGCCCATTTTCAAAGTAGATATAGCCAGTAATGTGAGTGAACATTGCTGCAAGAAACTTCTGGCAGAGACATGGCTCTAGCTAGAATTATTGTGGTAGACATATGAAAGACTTAAATGTTCAAGTTTATACTGAGATCCATTTATAATTACTACTTCTAGTTTTTTTCTTATTTCTCTTTTTATTTCATTATTTTATTTTTATTTATTTTATTTTAACTAGGCCTTCACCAGAAAATCCATCTAAGTCCAAAGAGAAGCATAGCACTATCTGAGGAGACAGCAATGGGAGCATGTCCTGTGAAAATGGGTGCAATTAGTGTCCCTGTGCTAGTACAGCTGCGGGACAGCAACATTATTCAAAGCTGCCCCCCAAGGTCTGAAAACTGCAAATCTAAAAAAAGACAGTGGAGAGTATTAACCACCACAATTATTGCACAAAAAGAACCACATTGTGATAAACAGGTGCAAAAGTATTTGTTGGGGCCATTATCCTTCAGCAGCTTGCCTCTTCTCTTTGTGAAGAGAACAAGCTCAGCAGGAGGTTCTAGATAAAGTTGTTACATCTCAAGTGACAGAAAGGAAATGAATACAATGAACTGTGAAGCACAGCTTGAAATGAGGTTGATATGAGCTTGAAAAAGTCTCCAAGTGTCATAGTCAGATTTTATTTTTTTTTGTTGATGTGTTTTTCTCTGTCTTTTCTTTCTGTTTTATATAATTTAATTTAAATATTTTCCAATATTTAATTGCAATTTAAATTTATTAATTGTCTGTTTGTTATTATTATTAGTAGTAGTAGTATTAAAATACACAGCCATTTATTAATTTTACATTATCTTGAACCGGGATCTTTAACCTAAGGGTGTTATAGATGATTTTCAAGAAATCAAAACTTAATTGTTACAAGTAGCAGGTGACACCAGCAGTTCATCTTTTATACTGCTGTAGAGATTGATTTGACCTTTCAGCAGAAGCCTGATAGAAGATCAACAAAAATCTCTGCAAATTTCAGAAAAAAAACAAAAGAACATCTTCCCTGTTGCCTCAATCAAGCGTGCTGCTGCTCTGTTTTGCATCAAAGACCTTTTTCTGATCTTGTGAGTTGCAGACTGCTGTATTATTGTTGCTTTTAGTTTCATGTGGATTCTAAAATCTCACTGGAAATTGTGCCTTTGTTGAAGTCAGTTGTGAAGCCTTTGTAAGTTTTGGGGAGTTATTAAAACACAGTACAGGCTTGTTTTACGTAAAGATCAAGGTGGGTGTTTACGTTTTTTTTCTGACTAGTTTTGAGATGACTTGTAGAATGGAGCAAAAGATTTAACTTAGACAGTGCAAAAGAATAGTAAACATGACACTGATGGCGTAGCAGGCTTGACTGACTTGATGAGACTATACCTTGGGTGAGCTAATAATTTTTCACTTGCAAGTGCATCGTATCTCAGTAGGACAGCAATAGAGATGCAGTGCCTCTTGTGTGACAATTTGCACACATCAAATACTACTGGGAACATTTTTTTTTCCAGACAGGGATGTAACAAGGTAAACATGGCAGTGACTATTGTTGTTGCAATAAGCACATAGTTTAGATTCACAACAGATTAAGCTGTGTGGCTGCAGACACAAAAACGCTAGTGTACTTTTTTATTACCTTGCTGCATCCACAATGCTCCCTATTTATCCAGATTGTTCCTTTTTGCAGCCACCGATTGTTTGGTTTTGGCAAAGGCATGCTGTTAATTCTTTGTCTTCACTATGGATCTACTTATCTGGTCCATGAATCCCACTACTGCTTGTCTACTTGATGTGCGTCCTCTCTTCCCAAGAACTTTTTCCTTTTTTCATATTTTCAGAGCTTCCCTTAATCAGCTAATTAATAGGGCTTTTTCAAACAAAATAAAAACAAAGTGTGTGGTAGTCAGGTATATTCAGATTATGTTTACAGATACGCCTACTCAATATTGCTGCTTTCAGCCAGGCAGACAACTGTCAGTTCACAGTTGGCTGTTGGCTTAGGGCGTATCTACTTTCCCCTATAAACACAATCCTTTCGAGTTATCACAGGGAGGCAATGTGGGTGGACGTGTAAGGTGAGAGTTCCCAGGCTCACTAACCAAAACTCCCCAAATTTACTCAAATTATTACTCTGACAGCATTTCACACTAATGGAGGGGGAAACTGGTTGTAAACAGAGAGGCAAGACACTAGTGATGGGATTTCCCGGCTCTTTTTAGAGAACAGGCTCACTAAATAGAGCCAGCTCTTTCGGCTCTGAACCGGCTCTTCAGGTTGTTTTGTTGCTTTCATTAATTTATTATTAACAATAATATAAAATTATGCACAAAAGGAATTACTAATGTAAAAAAAAAAG